AGGAGTGGCTGGTGGGTTTGAACTGCCAGCCTTCTGGTTAGCAGTCAAGTGCCTTAGGCACTATGCTACTAAAGCTCCTGGCAAGCCCAATTTCCCTACCTGCAAAATCATGCTTTGTCCATTGACTAGAGCGAATGGACTCTGGTGGCACTGTGGGTAAGGCATTGGGCTGCTAACCAAAGGTTGGAGGTTTGAACCCACCAGCTGCTCTTTGGGAAAAAGACGAGGCATTCTGCTCCCATAAAGATTTACAGCCTTGGAAACCCTATGGAGGTCATTATGAGTTAGAACCGACTCAATGGCAATGGGTTTAGTTTTGGATTTGAATTAGAATGAATGGGGTAACTAGGTACTCTCACATTCTGTGAAGCTAAATAATGCTTCCTAGATGCTCAGAATGACCCTCGAGTGCCCACTGATCAGGAACTCTGGTCCCCCCACGTGTGTTTCACATCTTTCACCCTCTTCACACGTGCCCCTCCTGTGTGGTGGGGTGGTGTGTGCTGTCGCGTTGCTTCTGCCTCACAGGAACCCTGTAGGACAGAGTGGAACTGACTCACGGTGTTTTCTAGGCTGCAATCTTCCTCTTTTTTTAAAAAAAAAAATTTGTTATGGTTGAGGATGTACACAGCAAACATACAGCAATTCAGCCATTTCTACCTAACAATTCAGGGACATTCATTACCTTTTTCAGGTTGTGCAACTGTTCTCACCCTCCTTTTCTAAGTTGTTCCCCCTCACTAACATGAACTCACTGCCTCCTAAGGTTCTGATCTCATCTTTCAAGTTGCTTTTGCCAGTTCGATCCCCTACAGATAGATCTTAAAAGAACACAATGCTCAGGGCAGACATTTTTACTAGGTAAGCTGGATTATTGTTTGGTTTTAAGAAGACTGCAGGGGATATTTTTGGTTTAAGGTTTAAAGGTTATCTCAGGGCAAAGTTTCAAGGGTTCCTCCAGCCTCTATGGCTCCAGAAAGTCTGGATTCCATGAGACTTTGAAATTCTGTTTGGCATTTTCTCCTTTTGATCAGGATTCGTAAATAGAATCTTTGATGAAAACGTTCAGTTCATGGTAGATAGGCTGGAATCATTATGGAAGCAGGTTGCCAGGTCTTTTCCACACAGAGGCACTGGTGGCTTCAAACCACTGGCCTTGGGGTTAGCAGCCTAACATTTAACCACTGTGCCACATCCCCCTCCTTCATACCTATCAGCAAATTCTTGGCCCTGATGACATGTATTGATTTAGAAGAAAAAGCTCAACTCTTGAGAAAACAGGGCATATGTGGATGCCTGAGCCTTGGGATAAATCAGAGAAATCGTAGGTATACGGAGGTTACCTTAGGGGGGCTGGAATCAAATAGACCTGGACTCAGAGAGTAGCTTTACCACTTACCAGCTGAGTGATCTTAGATAAGTTCCATCTTCTCTCTGGGCTTCATTTTTCTCATCTGTAAAACAGGGAGGACTGTACCTGCCTCATAGGGCTGTTGTGCAGATCACAGAGACAACACAGGTAAAGGCCTCCCATAGCGCCTGGCTGATGACGAGCGCTTGAATGTTGCATGTCTGTAGGTGGGCCCGCACCAGGAGGAGCATCTGTGACAGACTGGGCAGAACTTGGCATCTCCTGCCTGATAATCAGAGCTTGATATCCACAGACTTAAAAACTGTCTATGAGCAGAGAGCACTAACAACTCATCTTTCCTAGTGCCTTATTACCTGCCAAGTGCTCTGTAGTTTACTTCATTTCTTCTGTAAAGAGAGTGTAACAGAAAAAGCCTGGTTTGGGGACAGACAGCCCAGGGTCTGAGTCCAGCTCAGCAGCCCACTGACCTTGTGACCTCCTGCACTTGGCCTGTCCCCAGGGCTCCGTGCTTTGAACTGCTCATCTCTGAAATAAGGGGAGTTATACCAAGCGAGTAGTGTTGTGACTAGGACTTAGTGGCATACAACTGATACTAAAATAAAAAGTGTCATCATTCTTATCGACACTATATACCAAACCAAACCAAATCCACTGCTGTCCAGTCAATTCTGACTCATAGGAGAGAGTAGAACTGCCCCATTGGATTCCAAGGCTATAAATCTTTACAGAAAGAAATTGCCACACCTTTCTCCTTCGGAGGGGCTGGGGAGTTTGAACCTTTCAGTTAGCGGCCAAGCACTTTAACCACTGTGCCATCAGGGCTCCTTATGACACCCTATAAGGTCAATATTATTATCCCTATTTTATAGAGAGAGAAGCAGAGACATCAGTGGTGACTTATATCTTGTCTGAGGTTCTGCAACTCCTTACCCGTGTATCTGAGATTCTAACCAAGTTAAGGAGACTAGGGAGGTGGGGGGGTATGGGGAATGTTTGGGCATTGTGGTGGTGAAGTCTGTGTGTCGGCTTGGCTGGGCCTGGCTGAGTGGCTGGGCAGCTGGAATGTAGTAGTCTCCATGATGAGACTGGTAATCAACTCCATGGTGGAAGCTACTGTGATGAGTAGCTGCCTTAGGGATGTGGTCTGCTTCCTATACATAAGGAGAAGGCTCGGGGAACGGTCTCTAGCTTATGGCACACTTGAATCCTGCATGTGGCTGTGTCATTGTTCAGCAGCCTGCCATGCTCTGCCGACCCTGGGACTTTCAACAAACTTGAATTAATGGCCTGCTGTGTGGTTTGGTAACATCAGGACTGTGCCTTTCACTTGT